AAGGAGCAGGGAGCCCGATGCGGGACTCGATCCCAGGACCCTGGGATCATGACCTGAGCCGAAGGCAGACGCTTAACCATCTGAGCCACCCAGGCGCCCTTAAAATATATTTCTAACACCATAATGCTCACAGTGGAATGGTACATACAGAGTTGACACACCATTTTAGGAAAGCTGCCAATGTCTAAAATTATGTATAGAGTTCTTCTATTTTCAGGTTTTCTTTGAATCATTTACTTTGGTTATGATATGATCCTTTCTTTTTTGGGGGGAAGGGGTTTGGTTTTGTTTTTTTTTTTTTAGATTTTATTTATTTGAGAGAGAGAGAGCATGAGCTGGGGGAGGGGCAGAGGGAGAGAGAGAAGCAGGCTCCCCGCTGAGCACAGAACCCGACACGGGACTTGATCCCAGGACCCCAAGATCATGACCCGAGCCAAAGTCAGGTGCTTGACCATCTGAGCCACCCAGGCCCTCTGATCCTAACGGTCTTGAGAGAATTATTTACTGGGTGATCTTTCACTTTACTAGATATGCTGATCCTTCTCTATGGTTTCTTTTTTCACCCCAAGTATCTGCATCTGCTGAATTGTAATTTTCTCATACCAGTTCTCATGACCTTATGCAACAGCCTTGGCTCCTCCATTCTTCATAACAACTCTTCGTTTGACTTCTGTGACACCACACTTTCCTGAGGTTGCTTATTGACATCTAAGTATTTTCTGTGGGCTCATTCTCTTCTCAAACATTAAAGTTTTCCTTAGAACTCAGTTGTGTATGTACTTACACAGAAATATATAAAGATATATAAATCTTTCTCTTTAATCTGTCTTTTTTTTAAAAAAAGTTTTATTTATTTATTTTGAGAGAGAGAGTGAGAGAGAGCACGAGGTTGGGGGGTAGAGGGAGAGAGAGAAGCAGGCTCCCAACTGAGCAAGGAGCCCAATGTGGGCCTCCATCCAGGACCCTGGGATCATGACCTGAGCCAAAGGCAGACGCTTAACTGACTGAGCCATCCAGATGCCCCAATCTCTGTCTATGTATATATATGTATATGGAGACAGAGAAAAAGAAGTGATTTATTCTAGGGAATTGAATCATGTGATTGTGGAGGCTGATAAGTGCCAAGATCTGTAGTTGGTAAGATGAAGACTCAACAAAGCCAATTGTATAGTTTCAGTATAAATGATGGGAGGTTTGAGACTCAGGAAGAGCTGGTGTTTCAGTTTGAGTCAAAAGGCAGGAGAGCACTCATGTCCCAGCTCAGAGACAGTCAGGCAGGAGGAGTTTTCTCTTACTCAGTCTTTCTGTTCTCTTCAGTCCTTCCACTGATTGGATAAGGCCCACCCAGTTAGGGAGAGCTCTGTTTGCTTATTGTTTTTATTGAGGTATAACTGACATTTAACATAATACTAGTTTCAAGTATACAGCATAATAATTTGATATTTGTATGCATTGCAGAATGATGATAATAAGTATAGTTACCATCTGTCACCATAGTAAAATGATTTTTTCCTTTTATTTTTTGTGATGAGGACTTTCAAGATTTACTCTTAGCAACTTTTAAATATGCAATACAGTGTTATTAATTATGGTCATCATAATTAAAAAAAATGGTCATTTTTTTTTTTTTTTTAAAGATTTTATTTATTTGACAGAGCCACAGCGAGAGAGGGAACACAAGCAGGGGGAGTGGGAGAGGGAGAAGCAGGCTTCCTGCCGAGCAGGGAGCCCCA